CCTGGGCAAATTTGGAGGTGCCAGGGACCAAACTCAGCAGCTTCCCCAAATTGATCAGGGTCTGAGATGCTCCCTGCTGAAGAGTGAGTCCTTGGTAGGGCTGATTCCTCACTGACCTCAGCCAAAAAGCCCTCATGTCTGTCCCTGGAAATCATTTGAGCTACTGTTGTCTTCCCATCGTAGGCAGATCACTTGCACATGCCAGTATGCCGTAGTCAGCAGGTGAGAACTGGCCAAACTGAATTGCTCTGTATTCAAACGTGGTTGTTCAGCTTTTGTTCAGTTGAGAGCAGACCTTTGTCATGGCAAAGTTACCATTTGGCCTTACATATGTGGTTGATTTAGAGAAGGTACTAAATTGCAGGCTTGATTTAGCCATTAAAATCTCTATGCGGCTGTAATGGCCAAAACATAATGAGACTTAAAATTCTCAGAACTGTGCCCAAAGCTTATTTTGGATTTGCTTTACAAGAGAAGCACAAAGCTTTCTGAGAGAGAGAGAGGAAGGTGGTGAAATCCAGCCTCAAATCAGTGATGAACTGTTTAGCGCACTGTCTCTGAGCTGTAGCCTTGGGAAGACATCTTCGCTCCATGTGCATCCCCCTAGACCCACCTTACAGCATGGAGAGGAGCCTGTGGGATAACCTGTGTCAGATATGCTGTCATGAACCATAACTGCTGCAGGTGAAAGGGGGGGGGGGTCTGTGGCCAGTTTCCGTGGTAACTGGTCGGCACCTGCAGCTCGTTGACGCAGTAGTGGATCTGTCCTTGTCTGTGCACAGAGCATTCAGTGATGGACATATGTAGCTGTCCTGGAAAAGCCTTGGCAAAGGGTTGATTTTATCAAGGGCAAGCTTTTTTCCCCTTTCTAACAAGGCAGTTTCACTTCTGTTGCATTGAGCTCTGTCCTTCAGTTTATTTAGTTTGTATTTATAAATATTGGGGTTAACTTTTATTGTTTGTTTGAAACATGTCTTTCTTTTGTGTTACAATCCGCAATGAATTTGCAGACTGGCTCAAATTTATCTCTAGTTTTGCTGCTGCTTGAAAGAAAACAAATCAGCCCATGAACTTGTAAAATCACAGAAAGTCATTTGCTAAAGTTGTAAATATTGGATCATACACAGGATTTCTGCTCTGAAAGAGCAACTCTTCTTTGTATGATGTGCAGTATATCAGGAAGGAGGTTTGTTTGAGCCTGAGGGTGGATTCTCTAGTGTTCTGATTACCACTCAGAGCTACTTAAGTGTTACACTACAAAAGGTTTATAACCAGATCCTGTGTATCCACTCATTTTGTGGTGTTTTGCTATGCACCCTGAAACTTTGGTCCATAATGCAGCTATTGCTTGAGTGAGGAATGAGTGGTGATTGTCAAGATTACAGAGATGGAGATTAATTTTTGGTTTGAGATTTGGATCCCTTGTGCACTGTTTGCGAGATTATTCTCCAAACCAATAGTTTTAACACTCTTTGTGCAGCTCAACATTGAGATATTTTATTTCATGGAAGGGTTCATGGAATCATAGAATATGCTGAGTTTGAAGGGACCCACAAGGATCATCGAGTCCAACTCCTGGCCCTGTGCAGGACACCTCAAGAATCACACCATGTTCCTGAAAGCATTGTCCGAACACTTCTTGAACTCAGACAAGGCTTGGTGCTGTGACCACTTCCCTGAGGAACCTGTTCTAGTGCTCAGTTACCCTCTGGGTGAAAAATCTTTTCCTGATATTCCAACCTAAACCTTCTCTTGACTCAGTTTTGTGCCATTTTCTCGAGTCCTGTCACTGGTGATGAAAGTGAAGAGATCAGTGTTTGCCCCTCCGTGAGCAAGATAAAGCATAGTTAAAAATAAAACAATGTTCTCCAGACTCCTGTAAGGTTTCTGGTAAGTGTTTATAACTAAACCTGTCTTGCACCACACTCCTTACATGGCTTTTAAAGAGAAGAGATGGCTAATCAAATTTTGTGTGCTCATATAAGGATGCCCAATATGCTTTAACCTCCTTTCTTCCTCTCTGTTGTTAAGCATCAGTAATGTTAAAGCTAAATAGCTGGAAGCAGTTTTATCACTTTGCAGCAGTGCCTGGCCCTGTACTGCAGGTGGGGCTTTCTGAAGACAGGGAATGCTTGCAATTGCAGTTCAGGTTTTTTAGTTCACTGGGACATCACGCCTTTAACCAATCAAGACTGGTGAGCTAACAAGTGAGAGGGACCTCCCGTTGTCTTCTGTGGTTTTGTACTTCACAGATTCCAGAAGAAATGATTACTACTACAAAAAAACCTCAACCCAAAACCTCAGCACAGCACTTAAAGGAGTGCCCATGGAGAGTAGAAATCAAACTGGTCACTAGACAGACCATAAGCTTTCAAAGGCGTTGAAAGTTTATTCCCAGAAAAAAGACCAAAGGACATTTTTAGAAATGTACTAATAGGTATGATTTTTCTGAGATGCTGATATAGGGACAGTCAATGTAAATAGTCCAGGAAAGAATAGAAGAAATGTCAGGTTCACCTTTGAAAACCAAAGAAACATTTCAATAATCTAATAACACTTTTCTTGTGTTGTTTCGAGCTTACACTGCTTTGTAAATTTCAGCTGTCCAGAAGTTTCCTCAAAATTGTGCATGTGTATTTGGATGACTTTAGGTCTAAAACACATGCTGAACGAGATTTTAGAAATTCGGTGTGGTTTTTTGAGCACAGGTTACAGGGTCTTCCCAAGCGGTAATTAACCAGTCAGTTTAAACCCATTTTCTGCATACTTTCATCTGATTTTCTGGTAGTGTGTGGCAAAGTTGCCAGTGTGTAATACCAGGTGCTGTGTTGGAGCATGTTTTAAGTGTTCATCAATAAATAATACATTAAAAGTAGATAAGAAGTCAATTCTTTGCAAAGTTTTGCAAATGTATATATACATACGTTTGGCAGTATAAGGACACTTAAGTCTGTCATCATCACTTTCAGCAAACACTACCTTTACTTGTAAATTATTTTGGTAAAAGCCTAATTCATATAGCCATGGGCAAGCAGATTAGTCTCACCTAGGGATTGCTTGCAGCTGTTGGATCACTTTTTCCTTAAAGTCTTGCCAGTAGTGTCCAGGATACTAGGAGGTGAATTTTGCTCCACAGAGGTCCACGACTGCTTGATGCCCATTTCAGTGGGCATCTGCTCTGAGCAAAGGAGAGGATTGCTGCTTTTATAGGCACAAATCTATTTTCTTGTTTATTGAAGTCTTGATGTAATGGAAGTTACATCAGCATACAGGATCAATAGTTACTTAGGAGGCAGATTTGAAACTTCAGCTAAATGTCTTGAACACATACAAGGCTGGGTACAGGACTATGTGGCGATGTGTTTGACAGTCGTGCCCATATTTTCATCACATGCAGGTGCTTGAGGTGCCTTTTTGATGCCTAGTGTGATTTCAGAAGGTATAATAAGTATCAAAGTAAGAATATATAAGTGAGCGTAAAGAATGGAAGGGATACAAAAATTGCTGTTTCTGTAAATACTACACAGCTGATCACTGCATACAAGAAACGGAAGATTCTAGTGTAAGTACATGAAATACTTTCAAGTCTTACTGTCCAAGTTTTTGGACAAAACAGAATAAGTAATGCATGAACATATGATACTCGTACATATACACTGAGCATAGATAATGTGATTTATACTATGTATGATGTAGCAGCATTAATTTTTGATTGTACTGGATTAGTTGTAAATTTTGCTAAATACGTGCAAGAAGATAATGATTTCTGTGTGCCCTAAATTTGCTGGAAGAGCTTAGAAGAGGAAAAATGGATGTAATTTTGGAAGGGGATGCAGTAGAGGGGAGCTTTGTTCTTGACCTGGGTACTGGTTGATCTTGGACACTTGGCTTTCTCTTTCTCTCTCTCTTTCTTTTCCATCTGCTAAATGCAGCTGTTAACCTTTTAGCCGACCTCTTAGAACAAAACAATTTGAAGTCTTCTGATAGAAATAACAGCTAATTCTTATCTAGAGTTACTATTCAGTGAAACATCTGTACAGGGTGTTGGTAACAATGAGGCATAATTTTAGTTACTCCCAGATAAAACCTATGTCCTTAACCATGACTTTGCTGTTCTGTTTTAGTATCTCACTGACTTGTTTTTAAGTTTTAAGACCCTGAAAACAGACCAGGTACTTTCACTTCATTGAGCAACTTAATTGTTCTTAAATGCCAGAGATCATGATCCCAGAAATGTAGATCATCAGTATTTCTGTGGACAGTGCTCTTTACTAGACATTTGGACTTTGAAGAAATTCCATATTGAAGAACAGCTACAGGCTACACAATGCGGAGAAGATATAGAGAAGACAGCACTCCTTCATGGAGCACTGTAGTGCCATGGAATACAACCTGGCACTTCCAGCTTTTTCCTTGCATTCCCAAGAGAGATTTTTGGAAATGCCAGGAAAGAACCGTGACCTCACAGTTTATCTCCAGTCCGAACCTTCACACGAGATTATTGCCAGTGGCATTTCTTTGAGGCAGTAATTGCTGTCAGCATTGCTGCCCTCTTAATTTAGATTAAATTAATTTAATGTAGATACAAACATGCTTCAGTGATTCCAAAAGCTTTCGCTGTAGAGGAAACACTAACAACCCTGGTTTACCTAATTTTTCATGATTCCTTTTGTTTTGCTGTGATAGCCCTGAGTAGACTGTATGAAAAGCAGACACAAGAATCATGGATTTGCTGCAAGAATAATTTCAAAAATCTGTTGGTATTAGCAATAGCAGTATGTGTGTGAATGTGTTACATGATGAGGGGAGAATCCCAATTAAAATCTTACTGCTAAACAAGTGACAAAGATCTTGCAAACAGTATGAGACTCTGGGCCAACTATGGTTATATTAATAATAATAAATCAGATCTGGTCTGATACCTCCTACACATGGATTTTTTTTACCAATTATCATTTTTATAACTTTAATTTAGTTTGTGTTGTTTTTCTGCTTCCCAGCTTTTACTAAATGCTGTCAAGAAACTGGTTTTCTTATGGTGGTGAAGTGTCGGCAAGAGAACACAGCATTAAAAGACTGCCTGGTTGGCCAGTAAGTCCCTCATGAGTTTTTATTGGTTTTTTGTGCATGGCCTGTACTAATCTAGAAATGAGTAGAAATATTAACTGTTCTCAAAAGGGTTATGCAAGGTTAGGGACTTCGATGTATTTTCTGAAAATGGTATCTTTTCTTTATTAGAACTGTGCTGGTCAGGCCCTAACTGACAAGATTTTATTTACCATATAAATATATGGCTATAAAGGCTCTGTCCTTGATTTACATGGTGACAGATTTCAGCCCAGGTGACCTGTAGCCCTATGTTTGCTCTGTTGCATCACCCATGTGAGGATGGGGGTGAGCAGTGAAGCACCTTCATACTCTATTAGTGAGACAGGATAAGTTTGTTTTCATTTTGCTTCTTGAACTGTTCTTTAAGATTTAGTCTGTCTTGAAAGTGTCCTGCTGTTGTGAACAGCAATAGCAGCAACAGTGGGAAATTGTTAGATATAAGAGAGGTCAACTTGAAGCCATGGTGGATTGAAATGTTTCTTTTGGAAGTCCTAAGTTATTCCCATTGCCATCAGGCTGAAGCGTTAGATTCTTGAATCTGCCAGGGTGAGAGTTGGGGATTTTTTGAGTTTCACTGGGAGAAAAAGGATGTTCATTTGTTTTTTGGTGGAATGTGTGTCCTGCTCTGTTAAACCAGAAATTAAGACTAATTGCCTTTGAACTAGTGACAGTTATTCTCAAGTATTTGGGAACTGATGAAAAAAACATGTCCAATCAGGTGAGAATTCAGGCCTAACTGCAGTCAGAACTTACTGGAGTTACTCAGTTTTATTTGTCAGTACATTTGCCTTTTTTAAAAAATAAAATGAAACAAAATGCTACTGGAAAAAATGTTTAGTGCTTGAATTGTTATACTTAAAAACAAAATTATAAGAAAAAGGAATTGAATGTAATGATCAAGGACCTACATATCTACTGTTTGAGACATACACTTTAACCTCTTCCAAACAGTTGTTCGGGTGCATAAAAAAATATAAATGGACTCCAATAGATTCCCATACTGAGGAAGATAACTGCAAATAATAAATTATTCAACTGAACCAAAACACCAAATGTCTCTCCCTTTTTCTACCTTTCCTCTTGGTGGCTTGACTGTAGAAGCTTGAAAAGGACTATGCCTCAAGAGAAAACAGTATCATTAGAGAATGCAGATCAACTTACTAGTTAGAGTTTACAAAGATAACTGTAACACATATGTACTTTAAAAAAAAAGTATTTTATTATTGAAGGCAGACAAGTTTTCTTTGGGTGTTAATGTGCAGTATCTGTTCCATATTCCAAGACGAAAACCATTATTATGTATTTTTCTGTCTTGCAGCTATTCTGATCCATCATTCTATGAAGAATGCAAAGCAGAATATTTGAAGCAAAGAGAAGAATACAGAGCAACTGGAATTAAGAAAAAAAGACAGAAGGTTACTTCAAATGTATAATTAAAACTTAAAATGAACTTCTCACATTTTATATACAACTTTGAGTTTCAATTGATTTAAACAGACTTAAATGATCTGTACCCCTGTGTGGAGTTTAACTGAAATACACAAGATGAGATGAATGGAGAATAAAATAATCTCTAAAATTAGATTTTTAAATTTTTTGTAGTTAAAGATCTCAAGCATGCTGTCACAGTTTGCGAGAGAAGGTGCGAAGGTCTGTTCCTCTGTCTGGACTTGTGATTTTGTTACCAGTTTGCAAGTTGGAGTTTACAAATCCAGAATGTCCATTTGGAATTTAAAGCTTGTGTCTAGTTATGTGAGCTAGGCTACATAAAAACTTAAATTTTTCACCCTTAAATTGTATTAACTGATCACAAATTGTGTATACATTGAAGCTGGTCTGTTAGTCATCACCTGATGCTGACTGTGTATGGAGATGCACTTACTAGAAGAGAAGGGTTGCAAATGCAGAAGAGAAGAGCTGCTCAGACCAGTGTGAACTATCTTTTTCAAGAGATTGTTGAGTCATATGAGAGCCTGGTAGTACTTGTGCCTACACTGTGACTAATTTTTAAATGACGTTGCCAGAAGGGATGGATGCCTTGTGTTTGTGTGTGGCCCAGACTGACCGTTTTGACTCTAGAGGAGAAAGTAATCTGATCCAGACTTTCTTTGAGAACATAGAATAAGCTGCCACACTTCAAGAGTGAGCAAGTGACCCCACTTGCAAAATTATTGCAGGTATAGGTGAGTAAACAACTAAACTAGGCATGTAAAATGCAGGTCACTTCTTGCAGGAACTAAGTGAAAGGAAGTCCCTGATTAAAAAGGGGCTTACAAAAGATCTTTCGTGTATTGGTACTTGAAGCTGCTTAATGGTAGAACTCTCAAATGCATAAATGACTTCACTAGAGATAGTAATTCAAAGTTTTACAGGCTATCTTGGAGTATCCTTTGAAACATTCTGAAATAAAACCAAATTCTTTGCAAGTAGGGAAAGACCACATTCAAACTTGGTAACTTAAATGCCCTGGTTTGAAAAAAAAATAAAAAAACTTCAGAGTACATAATAGGATTTGATACTTGTCCATCAGAAGGTGCAAAATTTGACTTATTTTAATAGTTTCACCACAAATACAATATTGCTCTAAAGCTATTCAAGTAGGAAGTTCAAATCAGACTTTGACATCTGTATGTGAAAGTCTTAACACTGCACGTTAGTCCTTGCCCTTTATTCTGTGCCTTTTATCAGTAATAACGTTGCTTCAGCAGAGTGGCTGGAGGACTAGCGAACATTTGTGAATAAAAAACTGAAGAGATGTGTAGCATTCTGCCTTGTAAGGCAAACTTAAGTGGCACTCAGCTCTAAAACTAACCTCTTTAAAATAGCATATGTGGAACAGTGTCCTACGCGCGTACTTGCTCTTTTCTCCTTAGTTCAAGCATTTTGGAAAAAAAAAATATTCCTAATCCGTTAGTGGAAAATTAGTTGTTTTGCTGTATTTTAAAAAAGAGTAAACTTAATGTAGATGGCGAAATGTATTTTTAAAGATAGTGACTGTTGTGGTATGCCGTTATGAAAATCTGCTACATTTTCAACCTCTGGAAATCCAGCCTGGGTATTTGTAACTGTTGTCAAAAGCCTTCCCAAAGAGGATTTGTGTGGGAGCAAGCATTCCCTTAGGGGCAATGCTGTGTGCTGCCTGTGGTATGTGCCTGCACTGAGGGCTCACCTGGGTCATCCTCAGGTTCCAAGCACAGCTGGTGATCAGACACAGCATCAGCAATGGGGGTCTCCTTTTCTGGCTCATCAGAAAATATGTTCAGCCACTGCGGGGGAACCCCAGTGCAGTGACCAGTACTGCAGGGGAGGAATTAGTGCCTGGAGTAGAACAAAGCCCAGGGTGGAACCTGCAGGTATTGGTCCCCCACCCTTGACGTGCTGTATGTGAACGACAGCCACAACTCACTTCTGCACTGATAACTAAGCTCTATGCTCAAGCCTGAAATCCGGTGTACTGGATGGTGCTGTCAGCCATTTATTTTTCGTTACCTACACTGTTGTGGGCAAAAGGAAGAACTGGGTTATTCGAGCTCCTCCTCTGTTTGGCCTGGGATGCACTCAGAACTGGGATTTGCCCTCGGCTCTGGCATGAGCTTCCTCTGTAACACGTCCATGGCCTTAATGTGATGTTCCCTAGTTTTGAATTCTTGATTTCACACCTTTCGCTTTCTTACTGTCTTGTGCAATATCCTGTACTTTAATTGCATTTACATCTTTTATTTAAAGTTTAAATGAAAGAATGAGTACTATGAAGTGACAAACTCATACTAGTAAATTCCTTTCGGTTTTGTTTCTGTCTCAGCTATAAACTCTCCTTCCTACTCAGGTTAGCAGGAGGCAGCCCTAGATTCTAAACAAAGTAAGAATACAGCAGTAGTATTGGCAAAGCCTTCAGCTGTGTGCAGGGAACTGGAAGTTTTTTTGCTACATGTTGAAAATTTTTTAAAAAGCACTTACTTAGTAATGATGAGAGGATACAACTTTGGAAGCCTGTCTGTCTTCCCCCCTCAGCCCCTCCACCGCCCAACAAAACCAAACATGGTAACTGCCTGTACTTAGAGAGAGCAGCCCTGGGTGATGAGGCAGGGAGCTGACATTGTGCAGACATGCAGTACTGCATGAAGCCATCTCCATCTAAGCCAGGGATCGCAACTCTCATTAATGGTCACTAGATGTTTCTTTTTTTTTTTCATTATGAAATAAATTCTGCAGGATTCTTATACATTATCGTTCTGCGTAGGAGTAGACAATTAGGGAAATTAATCTAGGTGTGCTTCCAGTGTTTTCAAGTTAGTCTATCTATAAAGAAAGGTTACAGGAGTGCAGACGCACAGACTGACTCAAGGAGGTCAGCCAAGGTCTGAAGCCTGGCAGTGCCACTCGCCCGTCATAGTTAATGTTTGTATAAAAGCATCTGATGTTTTCTAACATGACCTTCTGAAAAATGGAGGTGGCATCACCAAGTGTTTATAGCCTCAGTTTTAACACTGCCTGTTACAACTGAAGCTTTTGCAAAGCTACAGGGCTTTCCCTGTGGCCCTACGACAAGCCTGCCCCCGTGCTTACCTCCTGTAACCATGTGCCCAGCCTGCTTAAAACCAACCACAAGGCACTATTCACTGGCATTGATGGAATTAGGTCTTAAGGCTGGAAGACTGGTTTGTCACTGAGCACCCTTGCTCGGCACAGCACGGCATCTGTTGCCTTTTCTGCAGCACAGGGGCTTGTCTGTGCCTCTTCATAGCACTTGGCAAGCCCCCAAAACACCCCCATTTTTCACTGGAGACTGCACCCTCTCAGTGTATTAAAGCTCTCTTCAAACTCCTGAGGGGGGCTCCCTACAAATGCAAGATCTGAAAGGAAGGAGGGAAAAGGTGTTATATATGAAAAGCTTTCATTCACTGTATTATGTTCATACAATTGTGAGTAGCACACTGCTCCCCCCCAAAAAAGGGGGGAAAAGCCTGACCACTCAGGACCCAAAAAATAATACAAAAACCATATCAGAACCCCACGTGCCCTTTTGTATTCATACACAAGGCTCTTACTGCCCTGTGACGACTGTTCTTCAGAGGGCCTGTCTGAAGATTAGACAACAATACAGGTGTCAAGTACTGGAGCTTTTCAGTCTTCCTTTACCAGGCCAGAGCATCATTTAAAGCTACAGGTGTCTCAGCGTAGGAGTCTCAAAGTCTGCTGCACGTTGGTTTTGAAATAAAGTTCAATCTGCTTTATCTCACCAGTACAGTTCATATGATACTTGTGTGGGTCTGTTTCATTACTTGGAATGGGTATTGTCTTATTGTAACTCCACCATATGTCTAGTGCTGCTCTTGTCTTTTTACAGCTGTAAAAACTGGATGGTGGATCACAGCTACTTCTGCATGTAATCTGCTGTCACTCTGATGAAAAGATTTCACTTCTGAAAATGGAAAAAGCACTGTAAGCCACTAGCGGCATGGATTTAAATGACTTTTCCATCTTCAGTCAAAATATGATTGTTAAGCTTAGGACCAACAGATGCTTCACAAGCCAGCAAGCTCCCAGGTGACTCCAAATCTGGGGACTTCCTTTTCAAATGTTACAGCTTGGACATGGCAATGAATGATTGGATTGGAAATGCTGCCTACAGCAAGCTCTCCCTCATCAGTCCCACTTCTCTCCAGTATCAGCATTCTCCTGAAGTGCCTCTCGGCAAACATTGCTGCTCCCTTCTCCAGAATGGGAAGCAGCACAGAATATAAACCAAGAGTCAAAGGTAAAGCCCAGAAATTCTCAGGCTCTGCACAGAGAAGTTTAATTTTAAGTTTCCCTGTCACAGAAGACAGGGCAGGGATCAGGAACCTTTTGACACAAATAGTCAAACCACTTCGAACTCATCATAGCTTAAGGTAACTAAGTCTTTCAGGTTTCAGCATCCAAGAGAATACTTTTCCCAGAATATGCTGAAGCAGGCTACAGCAGATGGCTGGTTTTTTTCCTCTGAATGAAAAAGGATGAACCTCAAATTTAATTGTTTGTATTTGGAGAAATATTTATACACAATCAAGGAATTAAAACTTAAGTAAGAATTTTGTGCCAAATATGGAAAGGAGATTTGTAAGTGAAACCAATTTAAAACAAAAATAAATTTATTTGAAATCTTACACAATAGAATTCCCTCAATGCACAAATCATATTGATGTCTGTTGGATAATACATTGCTTAATAAAAAAACGCCTTTGTAATATTGAGGTGGGGAACCCCAAAAGTAAGCCATATAGCTTATGCAGCCACATGAGAAATGTTTTCTTTGTTATTACACAGGTAGTTGCTTTTATCAGCTAAAGCCTAGTGACTTGGATTTGTTTTATGCATATTGGGTTTTGTTCTATTACCTTCCAAGAGACTGTACTCCCCTGAGTCAGCTGTGTTCATTGGTCAGAATAAATTCCAGCATCTGACACCATTTCCATTAATCACAGACAACCCAGTATATGTGAGCAAGATAATAGAAAGAAAAACTGTACCTGGTGAATGGGAAACATTATTTATGTATGCTGTTTGCTACTATAGTAGAAAGTATCTGGAAGGCATTCTTTCGACTTTGATAGATAAAATGAAAGAGAAGGAGATGGGCTTCCCTGTGCAGGGAAGAGTGTCTGGAACCACACAGGTCATGTAGCACCCCAGTAACACTTTTACAGCCCATCATTACTACAGCTATGCTACAGTCATAGCTTCCTCATGTATTTGCAAGAAGTTTTAAGATAATTTGCTACTAAACAGCTGTGAAATTAATTTTTAGTACTTTGATCTGAAGCTGGACCTGTGAAGTCAAATACTTCACCCACCCACACAAGTGTAAATAGCCCATTCAGTATTAAATATCTTCCTGCCCATTACAAGTTAGGCATCATGGATCTAAATTACAAAGCATTTTTCTTCAACCTTCAGAGCAGTCAAGACATTTCACTTAACCCTGCTGTATCAAGCCAGATATGAAGCAGATAATTAAAAAAAAAAGGCATAAATTGTATTTGCTTAAAAACAGTTCATGGCCTTAAGAGTTAAAAAAAATAGTACTTAGACACCCATAATCTATAAAGCAGGCAGATTCTAATAACTCTAGTTCTCGGTGGCATACTAAAGATACCACAAAAATACTTCTTATGTATATCAACAGTGTGACAACACCAAGTCTGATTAAATTAAGGCTTTGTTTCTTTCACAAAAGAAAAGTTAGTGTCCATCACCACCATACAAATAAAGAGTCAAGGTTCTGGTGCTGTGCAAAGGAGGCACGATATGGGTAACTGCCCTGTATCCTGTATCCTGGAGCAGGATAGTTCTGTGGCAGCACCGCTGCGCACAGAGTTAAGTCAGTTCCCTTCAGCAGGAACAAGCTGAACCTCCAGGATTCACAGTGTTCAGCAGCATTACTTATGGTCCTTTAGAATTCACAATCAAACCATAAATGGTGCAATCTAAACAAGATAGCCAAGATTTTTCTCTTGCCACTATCTAATATAAATCAAGGATTTGGAAAAAAAAAAATCTCACCTTTCTTGGCTAAAGATTACATAAAAATGCATTTCTAAAAACAGAGGAATCAGAAAGTTAGTTGAAAGGAGGAAGGGAGAGATAATCCAGTTCTTCATTGTATGTCGTCTTCTGAAAAAGGACACCATCAAAAAGTCACCTTAGAGCTGGTACAAGTTTTAACATCAGATACCAAATATTTTCTTGATAAGATACAAATAGCAAACAAATACAGAACTGAATTATTTTGTTTTATTCCATCAACTCACTTTTCAGTGTAACCTTTTGCAAATGTATGTCATCTGCAGTACAAGACTATCTAGGCCCCATGCTAGATTTCTTTATTTTTGCATTATACCAGCACAGCTTTAACATCAAGGAACTTACTCCTGATTAACAGCAGAGGAAGACTAGGCTTCTGTTTCAGAACTAGAATTAAAAATAAAGAAAGAACATT